AAATAACTGTTTATTGTTTGTTGCCTTGATGAATCTTTATCCAGAAATAATATAAACACAACCACTTTACTGTTCCTGGTATCTTTACCTTCCATTAAAGTAACCTTTACAACTTTGCCATATTGGAAAATATCTACTTTAAGTCATTGTCAGGGAAAAGAGCAAGTTGGGTACACACACAGTGTCTTACCAGGGCCCAATCGTCCACCATTCTTAGCTTTAGGGGGAGTGGATCCAGAAGGCTAAACAAGTGGCCTCCTCAGCTTCGCTGGGCTCTTTCTTGTCCCTTGCAATGGCCTTGGCATCATGGGTCACTTTCTTGCCCCCATGGTGGCTTTGGCATAACAGATCACAAAAAGCTAGGTGCCCAGATGAGCTACTATAAGCAAGTAGTGCCTCTTTCCAGATCTTGTTAGATGAGGCCCAGAAGCCCACGTGCATAATTTTCAGCAGAGAATTTTACAGTCCTGGGTATGTTAAGTGTTTCTTCCCATTGTCCCACCTCCCCACCCTCTACTATCCCCTCCCTTCCCTTACAGTCTCTGGTATCTACACCTGTGCTTCCTGAAGTGTTTTATTACTTTTTGCCGTATCTCAGACTTGCAGGTAAAAATAATTCTTTTCAATAAATGGTACTGGAGCAATTGAACATATTGAATAAATAGATCTTGACCTCACCCTCACCGTTCGTGCAAAATGAACTTCGAATGGACGCTGGTGTCTGGACAGTGTGTGCTCTGCTCGGTGGGGGCTGGCCCACGCAGGGAGGTTTGGACTCACGTCTGGAAACCACCCTGAGCGTGCAGGTGCAGGCGCACCCAACCTGGGCTGGGGAGGCTGGGAGCACCTGGATGTGTGGAGACCTTGCCGGGGTACCCGTTTCCTGTCTCTGTCTCTCTTGCTCATAGAAGAAAGAAAGAAACAAAAATAATGGATCATGAACTCATATGCAAAATGTAAAACTATAAAACATTTTGAATAAAACATGGGGACAACTTCAGAATCTATAATTTTATGACTAGTTTTAAATGTGACAGCAAAATAATGATCCATTTAATATATACCGAGTGTCCGCACTCTACAGCTGAAACTGAATAACTAGAGGATATAGAAACATAGAACATGGTTATAGATACCAGATAGAGTGTGGGAAGAGGGTGGTGAAGGAGAAGAGCCTGAGGAAGGACGTTAAGGAGAAAAATAGAGAGGCAAGGCATTTATGGGACAAAGAAAAGAGCTGTTGTCTGTTGAAGATAACGTGTATAGTATACTCAAGTGGACTGGGGAGAAATGTATACATGTCAGAATATTCACTTTGCAAGCTAAGTGACACGTAATTGAATATATAAAAGAAATTTAAATTAAGAAAGACCAGTGTATTAGAGCTTTAGACAGGTATATTCAATATATTCTTACCTCTGATTCTATAGAAACTATAATTACTATAAATAATGTATCAGAATCCATTATAAGTTGCAGAAAAAAAGTATGTCCTTTATAGATTGAATCTAATATTCCTACCGTTTTATAGATTGTATCAGATGTTCCTACAATCTAAATAATTATGTTCTAAGTTTTGAAAATTGAATGAAGGTATTTTTAAGACCTATACTTGATTTTATATTTATCATTCTGTTTTATACACACACACACACACACACACACACACACACACACAATTCTAATAAGACATTATTTGCTTTAAAAAAAGAAAAAGAAAACTGCTCAGAAAAGCTTTACCAAAGAGTCTTCACCTTTGAACTATTCTCTTCATTATTCTCATCTAAGGGTACTTTTGTAAGCGTTTCAGTGGGGAATCATTAAGCGTACAGCCCTGATTTGGCTCTTCCTGATGTTTTTTGTTTTATTTTGTTTTCTAATTTAAAAAAATCTTTAAAGGATACCTGATTTTCTTTAGTGAATAATGTAGAACAGGATACAGTAACATGATTAAATTCCTAGAACCCTCAGTTCTTTAGTGATGGTCTAAATGCTGGTAGTATACCTGATAAAAATGTCTAGAATTTGATCAAGCTTATGTTGAGAAATAAAATTCGTATTTAAAAAAATTGGTAAATAACTGTTTATTGTTTGTTGCCTTGATGAATCTTTATCCAGAAATAATATAAACACAACCACTTTACTGTTCCTGGTATCTTTACCTTCCATTAAAGTAACCTTTACAACTTTGCCATATTGGAAAATATCTACTTTAAGTCATTGTCAGGGAAAAGAGCAAGTTGGGTACACACACAGTGTCTTACCAGGGCCCAATCGTCCACCATTCTTAGCTTTAGGGGGAGTGGATCCAGAAGGCTAAACAAGTGGCCTCCTCAGCTTCGCTGGGCTCTTTCTTGTCCCTTGCAATGGCCTTGGCATCATGGGTCACTTTCTTGCCCCCATGGTGGCTTTGGCATAACAGATCACAAAAAGCTAGGTGCCCAGATGAGCTACTATAAGCAAGTAGTGCCTCTTTCCAGATCTTGTTAGATGAGGCCCAGAAGCCCACGTGCATAATTTTCAGCAGAGAATTTTACAGTCCTGGGTATGTTAAGTGTTTCTTCCCATTGTCCCACCTCCCCACCCTCTACTATCCCCTCCCTTCCCTTACAGTCTCTGGTATCTACACCTGTGCTTCCTGAAGTCATATTCAACCTTTCCTTTCCTGCCATAGAATGCTGACATTCAGTATATATTGAACAGGGATATACAGTGGTATCTTTCAATGTCTGACTTACTTGACTTAGCAGTCGCTCTTCCACATTCAGCCACTTTGAGACAAATGACAGTGTCTCATTGTTCCTTATGGCTGAATAATACTCCATAGTGATTATATGCCACAATTTTTCAACATAGTCAGCAGTTCTTGGGCACTTAGATTGTGGTTCCTTGTCTTTGCAGTTAAAAATAATGCTGTGATAAACATGGTGTCCTTCCAATGATTGTTTTTCTATTTTTTGGGTAAGTACCAAGAAGTGGGATTACTGGGTCATGTTGTAATTCTATTGGTAAATGTTTGAGGAACTTCCATATTGTTTTCCTCAGTGGCTGTACCAATTTGCATTCCCACAAACAATGTGGGAGGCTTCTCTAGCATTTACAGTTCTTCCTCTTGTTGTTGTTTTTTTTTTTTTTTTTTTTTTTTTTTCCCTATCCATTCTGACTGGATATAAATGGCATCTCATTCCGTTGTGGTTCTTTTTCTTTCTTTCTTTCTTTTTCTTTCTTTCTTTCTTTCTTTCTTTCTTTCTTTCTTTTCTTTTTTTTTTTTTTTAGTAGTTTTTGCTATAGGGCACGTACGCTCACCAGAGAGACAGAGAGATAGAAAGTGAGAAATCACTCCCCACGGGGGATGGCCATGCCGCAATCCCTTCCCCTCCATTCTCCTCTCGAGCTCTTGGGCACATGGTGTGAGTTTAAGCCACCAGGTCCAGGATTCAAACCACGGTCGGCTACATGGGAGTTCAGAGACTTACGCTAGCCATTATGCTAACTGCTGGTCCCTCCATTGTGGTTTTTATCTGAATTTATTCTATGATAAGAGAAGTTAAACATCTTTTTAGAAGCATTTTGGCCATTTGTATGTCTTCTTTGGAGAGTTGTCTGTTCAGGTCATTTGTTCATTTTAAAATTGGATTACTGTTAATATTTTTTGCTGGTGAGCTGCTTGAGTTCTCTATATATTCTGGTTATCAATATCTTATCTGAAGCTTAGTTTGCAAATATTTTCTCCCATTCTGTGGGTTGTCTCCTTACTCTATTCATTGTTTGCTTTGCAGAAGTTTTTTAGTTTGATGTAGTCCCATTTGCCTATTTTTGGGATTATTGCCTGTGCTTTAGGGGTCTTAAGGATTTTGAAATTATTATTTTCCTTAGAGTATTTCATGAATGAGGATGCTTATGTATCTGCTTCTTATTATTCTGATCATACAGTGTTTAGTATAGAGACATGCAGAATAACATTAGGCAGACTCCATAAGCTGGCCATAGGTTTGTCTTCCCTTAAATTTGCATTTTGGGTTATTTTTAAAGTGTTAAGAGTTGTGCATATGTCACATATGTATGCTGCTTTATTTATTTATTTATCTATTTATTTATAAGGTTTTGCCTTAGGGTGAGTGTGTTTGCCAGAGAGACACAGACCCAGTGAGAGGGAAAGTGAGAAATCACCCCACAGAGGGGATAGCCATGCCACAATCCCTTCTCCTCCATTCTCCTACCAGGATCTTAGACACCTATGCATATGTGCCAGGCATGATTTCCAAGCCACCACTTCCAGGATTCGAACCATGGTTGGCCATGTGGGAGTCCATCAACCTAATTGCTATGCCACCTGCTGGTCCTGTGTGCTAGTTTTTAAGCTGGTGTCTTGTGGGTTAACACTAGCTCTTGTATCACCTCCCATGTTAGAATGAGGCTGGGAGTGTGCGTATGGGTCTACTTTGCTTGCTGGTTTCTTCTTAGTCTTTCCTGTGTGGTGTGATGCAGGCAGGGAGCTGTGGGTGGGCTGTGGGGTCGGAGGATGTGTCTTGCTCTTCTCTGTTTGCTTTGTTTTTATTTTGTTTTTTATCTGACCTCAGGAATACTTTTCCATCCTGCCATGACAAGTGATTAGGAGTACAGGTTGAATTAACTTAAATCAAGATCCCTCAGCATGTCTAAACCAGAACCATCCCCGTGGTGACATCAGCACAGCCTTCCCGGGAAGCAGGGGGTCTCAGCATTTCTGCTCCTGGGCTGCCTCTCCAGGCAGTGGTTTTAACAACGTTTGACCTTTGTCCTTTTCTGTCCTCCCAGGACTAGGAATTGGGTCTGCTGCATTTTTTTTTTTTTTTTTTTTTTGAGCACCTGGAGGGTTTCCATTCCCCAGCTGTTGCCTGACCAGAGAAAAGCTCCTGGCTGAATTTAAACTTAAGAGTAACACCAATGGCGTGTCAGACTTTACTTTTAGACCACCCACTGTCATTGAGCAGTGGTGTCAAGAGTTGAGTCACCTGTGTGTGCCATACCACAGGTTAGTCATGTTGTGAGTGACTGACCAGGGCAAGAGCTGACCACCCCCTGTTTGAGCCCCCCATTACCCACCTGCTGTTCTGTCTTTTCCAAGGAGCCTCTTGAGAGCTCCCTGCACATCTTTGTTCCTCAAGGTGTAGATGAGAGGGTTAAGAGTGGGGGTCACCACTGTGTAGAAAAGAGTCAGGAATTTCCCTCCCTTCTGGGAAAAATGGCTCCGAGGCCTGATGTAGACTGCAGTGACACTGCAGTAGAAGAGGAAGACGACCACCAGGTGGGAAGAGCAGGTGCGTAAGGCCTTGATCTGCCCCTCCTGGGACTGGATGGCCACCACTGCCTGGACAATGCGGCAGTAGGAGACGAGGATGAGCAGAAGTGGCCCCATCAGGAAGATGCCACCGACCACCGAGATCTGGAGCTCATTCACACGCGTGTCTCCGCAGGCCAGGCGGATCAGTGCAGGGACCTCACAGACAAAATCATCTACCTGGCGATGATGGCAGAAGGGCAGCTTCATGGTGGTGGGGGACTGCACCAAAGTGCCAAAAATCCCACTTGCCCAGACCAGGCATGCCAACCTGTGACACAGGTGTGGGCGCATAATGGCCGCGTAGTGCAGAGGTCGGCACACTGCCACGTAGCGGTCAAAGGCCATGACGAGCAGGAGCACACACTCCGCAGCTCCCAGTCCCAGGAAGATGTAGAGTTGAGCCGCACACCCCAGGTAGCTGATGGTCTTGTCGGAGCCCCAGAGGTTGACCAGCATTTGGGGGATGCAGCTGCTGGTGAAACAGAGGTCCAGGAAGGAGAGGTGGGTGAGGAAGAAGTACATGGGGGTGTGCAGGTGAGGGTCGGTGTGGGACAGGAGTATTATGATGATGTTTCCCATGAGTGTGATCATGTAAAAGATAATGACAGCCACAAAGAGGGTCTTTTCCAGCTTGGGGTTATCTGAGAAACCCAGAAGGATGAAACCATCTGGGACAGTGTCATTGACTGTGTCCATCCAGTAACCGTGGAGCTGAGATGAGTTGCACCTCAGAGGAAATGCTACCTACAGGAGGCAGAGAGAAGTGGGTTTTGATTTTTTGCAAAATTATCTATTATTTTTTGTAAACTTACTGTTAATCTTCTTTCTACCTGTCCTTCTTAGACATTGGCACCTGCTCATTTCTGTAGACACAGGTCTGTCCAGCAAACTCTTAGATGGCTTAGAATGTCGAAACCAACTCGGGACCAGCAGTTAGTGTAATGGCTATGTCTCTGGACTCCCACGTAGTTGACCACGGTTCGAGTCCCAGACCCAGTGGCTTAAACTCACGCCGGGCACGTGTGTGCCCAAGATCCCGAGAGGAGAATGGAGGAGAAGGGATTGTGGTGTGGCCATCCCCCCGGGGGGTGATTTCTCGCTTTCTATCTCTCTGTCTCTCTCTCTCTGTCCGGCAAGCACATGTGCCGTATAGCAAAAACCTCTCAAAAGAAAAAAATTGTCGAAACCAACTCTTGGTGTCCTTTGGGTAGTGACATCACTTGATTCTTCTAGCCTTTCCTCTAGAATCAAGGCTAACCTTACCCATGTGCCTAAGTGACTTCAGGTTAGCATTGTTTTCCAGCTCCCTCCACCCAAAACAAAACCAAAACTAAACCCAGTTTTTCTTCTGTTTTGAGCCCAAGTCGTGTCCACTTCCTTTCTACGAAGCAGAATTCTTCACCTTACGTTGGGTCACGTGTGACATTTCTGTCAAGTAGGAGCGATGCTGCCAAGATTTCATGAGCCGCTGCCTGAATGGACCCGCTGTGGCCCTGCCCTGCTTGCCCGGACAGGAGGGGCACCAGCACTGCTGAGCTGCTCCCCGCCTGTGGCAGGTGGTCTTCCTCTGGAGCATTTTAATTTACTAGAGATGCTTGTCCCGTTTGGCCCTCGACTTGATGGGGTTGGCTATGGTTTTCCTAATATATGTCTTTAAGTCTCAAATCTCTGAGTTGAACATCAGATACACTCTCACCATGGCCCCGCTGGCTGTGCCCGTGGTGGTCTGCAGCCCTGTGAGAGCACACGCAGGCGCAGGGCTTGTCACCATCAGCGCTTTGTTATTGCCGAGAGTCAGACCTGCAGGGGCTAAGTTAAAGATAAAAATCTAGGAATAGACTACTGCTCTGTCCATCACAAATCTTTCCTCTGTAGCCAACGTCTGGCTGTCCAGTGGACTGCGCTCTGGACCTGAGCTCTGCCCGATCCTGAGGTGCAGCTCTGGCAAGTCATTGGCGTTTGACACCCGAGGGGATGCCGGCTAGCTCTGCTCGTGTCAACACTGGGTTCTCAGGCGTCCGTGAATGCAGGGAGCCTGGATCTGGGATGGGGGAATGGACGTGCTGATTGGACTGATCCTTTGAGTAAGAAGGATGCAATGCTCGTGCCTGGATTTTCAACTCCCTGAGAAATGCATCTCATTTCATTCATTTCAGTATCCCTCTGAGTGACTTGCACAGGGAATGCGTTCTAAATAGTTACTGATCTGCAGCCTCACTCAGAACATTTCCACCTCTAAAAGTGATTTACTCTCTGCAATGCAGACATGAGAGCAGAACTTGCTTTTCTTACTTTTTAATAATACCCAGTAATGCAATCGATATAAATGGAATTACTGCTGACTTTCATGACTTCATTCTCTCACTTCCCAGCTGATATAACTGACTTTCTTGTTCCCTCTGCAGCCCTGAGTGGTCCATGTGTGCATCTCCAACAAGGCTGTTCCTCAGGGGTGTGCGTGTCATCAACTTTTTCAGCACCCTCAGGGCTATGAGGGCTTCTGATAAGATTTCCTACTCAGGGCTTCGAGATGAATCCAGGAAGCACTAGCACAACATGGTGCCGTGGGAACACAGGGGCGAGGGGTGGCATCTGGGCCCCCTCTATCAGGGATGCTGCAAAGCAAGTTACTTTTTTGGGGGTGACCTCCTTCCATCCTTTGTACATTCCCTAACTCCTCAGCAATATTTTCCTCAATCCCAATTACCTACATTCTCTCATCCCTCCAGGTTTTTTTTTTTTCTTCAAGCTAACAGTAATACTGATAACTGCTCTGCACTTATAAGGGACATCTCCACTGGGAGATATGAGATGTGAGTTCTTGTTCATTTGCTTTTAAGGCGGTGTAAGCTCAGAATGGTCCATGAACAGCTTACTGGAAGTGTTTTCATTTGATATATACCCTCTGACTTCCCACAGTTGTGAACAGATGGGCTCCTTTTGGTTCCAGGCTAGTACTGCTCTGCAGACCTTGGCTGTGGCACTCTGAGCTCAGCAGGGCCACCCACTGCTCATGCTCTGCATGTCTGTTCTGTAGTATAATCTCTCCAATTAGACATGGGCTGTTTCTGATTGGCAGGTTTCTCAAACACCCTTATTTCCATAGCTTCTGGGCCCCTTTTAAGCTAAGTTTCAGCCATTCACATTAATCCAGTGAACACTGCACAAGCCTACATGTTCTTGAGGCTCAGAGATTTAAAGGACCTTATTTTTTCTTTTGTCTTTCCTTACCAGCATCCATGTTTTGCCCAAGGGACTGTTGGGCGAACAAATGTGCACACCCTTGGCGTACCGAGTTTGCCATTACGTAACAACATGGCGTTAGACCCTGGTGTGTGCTGAGGCAGACGATGGGCAGGGGAAGGGAACTGTGACAGCACAAGTGGCAGAGGCAGGCTGAATACTGTCTTTCTAGGTCCAGCTGTTACAGCCCAGCAGCTGCGACATCCTCTGGGAATTCCCCTCTGTCTCTTCTTGGACGTGAGAAATCTCCCCTCGTGGACCACAAATTCTGCATGGCAAGCAGAGGGGCTAACCTTTAGAAGAATTGTCAGAACTTTGGCATCATGGAAACATCAGCCAATCTTGAGACCCAGTATTTTCAGGAGCACTGGGCTCATTCTCAGTGCATTTAACGTCTTTACTATTTATTCTGAGAAATTAATGTAAAATAAACATAAAACAGTAACACAAGACTCATAACGCTGTGAGATAAAGTCACTGTTATCATGAACTTTCACCCCTACACCAGCTAATGAGTCAGTAATATAGATGTCTGAAACAATAGCAGAGGTTTGCAGGACATTTTATTTCTCTTGCTCTCTAAGTCCAGGCGGAAGTATGCAAACCCGTGTCAGAATTTATCACCTGTGACAAAGACGAGTACCCTTACCAGTTTCCATTCAGCTGAACGTGGTCAGATCAGGTATTTATCTTTCAAATGAGAGTCCTTGCTCCTCTCACCAGGTGATCTGCCTTGTCTTCAAGCATCCTTTCCTTAAAATGCATAAAATATTTCTTGGATTCGCTTATATTATCCTCTCTGCCTGGAATCTGTTCACTTCTACCCTCAATCTACCAAATCACACTGTTCCCAAACCCATCACTTAGGATCTTCTGGGGTGCATTTTAACCCAGGCTTGGTCACAGCCTGAGCGGGAGAGCAATTGCCTTACCTCTAGGACGCTGTAGTGCCTGGGGGGGGCCGTACTTGGACCACTTCCTTTATTAGCATCTTGGGTGCAGAATTAGGGAGCAATAACGGCATCTCGTGCCCTGGATATTTGCTGCGTATTCCAGGAAGACCTAACGTACTGAGATTGATAAGACCACTGGGACTGCTTCCCAGATCAAAATTAGCCTCCAGGAGAGTGCCTTCTACTGCAGGTTCTCCCACCTCGGGGCCCAACAATGCATGCTTCGAGCTGTTAGAAGTTGGAAGCTCCTGGGCGTGTACCATGAAGGACCTCACTGCTGAACTTCTTAAATTAGACTTTTCTGTTTACAAATCACTTCAGTATATATAAGGTTCATCAAATCCTTCAATCTTTTGAGTCTTCCGGTTTTCATTCTTACACTTTCTCCTGAATAAGTGTTTGGATTCAGTAATGGTGTTTTTCTCATTAAAAGAATAAATGTTCACAAAGTCTTTGGGACCTGGGGAAAGGAATATCTTGCATTTGATTTGTAAACTTCGTGTGTGCTTAGCAAAGACAATCTGTATCTGCGGAACCCAGTCTTGTTCTGCCTCCGTGCCGTGTCCCGGTGGTAGCCTCTGTTTCAGGTTTCGCAGTGTGTGTAAGAACACACACAAGATCAAACATGCACATTTTCCTAAAGAAAATGGTAAGCTAGAAAACCTCAAGGGAGAAAGTTTTCTCCTTAGGTTTTTCTTTTTTCTTTTGTCTCCCTTACCAGGGCAAATAAGCCAAAACACACACACACACACACACACACACACACAAATGACTGACAACATTGTGTTTTATAAAAGCAAAAAAGATTCCCGTGTTCTAACCTCAGCTCAGTTACCAATTGGCAGTAGGAACTTGAGAATGGCATTTCACCTTGTAGGTACTCAGCTTTTTCTTCTTTAAACCCTGGCCTTGGATGAGAGGATGCCTGTGCCTGCCCATGGCTAACTTCTCTGAATACGTTATGACCACATAGCCATGCAGATGGGAAACAGGAACAGTGTTGATATCCCATAGCTTAATTCTTAGATGGATAGAAAATGCATGTTTTGATACCATTTGTGTAAATGGGGATTCTGCCCCTATGCCAGGCTTAGCCCTCAGCCAGGGCTATGGGACTGGCCCTAAATTCATAATTTAATTCTGTTTTTTCACAAACTTTTTGGTCTTCACAAGAGCTCCTACTCCATGGGAAGGGAATTGATGGGTAATGGATATTTCTTATTGGATTTTGTGTCTCACTTCTGTAATCTTAGGTTTGAAAGGTTTGCATATTTAAGTTTTTTTTTATTAGTTCACATGAGATTGCACATAATGGTAGGGCTTTGGACCCTGATCCGACTGGATGTTGGTGACACCAGCCCATGGATTTGTCACTGTTGCATCTCCTCATCAAAGTACACACCCACTAGCAAGTCACCAGTAGTCACGCTATAGGCCAGTTTCTTAAATCTTTAACAATTTAATTTAATTATTTTAATCGTATCTCTCATAAAACTGAAAGAAAATTCAAAATAGTTTTTCTCAATCCATAAGTTGTCTCTTCATTCTGTTAACATTTCCTTTGCTTTGCAGAATATTTTCAGTTTTATATAACCCCATTTGTCTATTCTTCTTCTTTTTTTGCTCATACTTTTGGATTGAATCCCAAAAGTCATTGGGCATATTGATGTCATTTTTCCCCCTGTTTTCTTCTAGTAGTTTTACAGTATCCAGCTTTACATTTAAGTTTTTTCCTTGAGTTGATTTTTGTATATTATGTGAGGCAAGGATTCAATTTCATTCTCTGAAATGTGGATATCCAGTTTTCTCCACACCATTTATGAAAGACACTGTCTTATCCCCTTGTATCTTCTTAGTATCTTCATAAATTGACCATAAATGCTTAGGTTTATTTCTAGGGTTTCTAGTATGTTTCTTTGATCAATATGTCTATTTTTATGAGAGTAGCATGCTATTTTGATTATTCTAACTTTGTAATATAACTTAAAGCCAGGTGGTGTGATTGTTCCATCTTTGTTCTCTTTGCTCAGGAAAGATTTCCTGGGCTATTAGGTTTCTATTGCTTTTCCAAATGAATTTTAGATTTTTTTTTTATATTTCTGTAGGAAATGTCTTTGGGATTTTGATACAAATTACATAGAATCTGTAGATCACTTTGGGTATTATAGGTGTTTTAACAATAGTAATTCTTTCCACTCATGAACACATGGTTGCTTTCCGTTTATTTGTGCTTTCTTCAATGTTTTCATCAGCAGTTTATAATTTTCAGCATACAGACTTTTTACCACCACAGTTATTTTTTTCCTAATTTGTTTCTTGTAGCTATCATAAATAGGAGTGTATTCTTTTTAAAATTAAATTTATTCGACTTTTACAAATTCCAGTAGAAGAAAACTGTGTTGGGCCAGTAGGGAGCATGGATGTTAAGGTGGCTGGACCCTACATGGCTAAATCTGTGCTTTGAGTCCTGGACTTGGGTGCTTAAAATCACTCTGGGCATTAGTGTGCACTGCCCAAAATCTCGAGAGAAGACTGGAGGAGTAGGGATTGCAGCATGACTATCCCCCTGGGGGTAACTTCTCATTTTCCCTTTCTCTCTCTCTCTCTGTCTTTCTCTCCATCTCTTTCCAGTGAGTACACATGTTCTATTGTAAAAACTTTTAAAAAGAAAGGAAGAAAGGAAGAAAGGAATAAAGGAAGAAAGAAAGAAAGAAAGAAAGAAAGAAAGAAAGAAAGAAAAGAAAGAAGAGAAAAGCTATGTGTACTGTTGTGTAACTTATATTCCCCACTTAACAATATATTTAGGATATATTTTTTTCTTTTTTGGGGGAAGGAAGAATGTGATTTCTTTTCAACTTTATCAAGTTATTTTTAAAAATTTTTAAATTTCAATTTCTTTTATACATTCAATCACATGTTACTTAGCTTGAAAGTAAATATTCCAATACGTATACATTTCTCACCAGCCCAGTTGACAATACTATGAAGTTATCTTCAACAGGTGATAACCCAGTTATAATCAATGAAAATTGAATGTATTTTTGGTGTCCAAAATAACGTTTTTGTATAGGTAAACATTATGAAATGATTAAATCAATCTAACATATATTATTACCTCACATACTTTTCTTTTTCTTTTTTTTTTGATGAGAGCATTTAAGATCTTTTTTTCTTAGCATTTTTCAAATGTACATTATTATTAACTACAGTCTTTAGAACTTGTTGGACACCTGCTTCCCATGGCACTATGGTGACAGTACCTCCGTGTTGAACTCAGGGATCCCAGAGAGAGTGCTAAGTGGAAGTTGCCAGGTTTCTCATGACTCTTCCTTGGAAGATCCTGAACATTACTGCACTGTATGTTAGTGACCATGCAAGTCATTAAGACCAGTCCTTGTGACTAGCTGTTGGCGTAATGGCTATGTCGCTGGACTCCCATGTAGTCGACCGTGGTTCGAGTCCCGGACCTGGAGGCTTAAACTCACGTCGGGTGCATGTGTGTGCGTGCCCAAGATCCCAAGAGGAGAATGGAGGAGAAGGGATTGTGGCATGGCCATCCCCCCCTGGGGGGGGGTGATTTCTTGCTTTCTGTCTCTCTGTCTCTCTCTGTCTTTCTAGCGAGCACACGTGCCCTATAGCAAAACCTCTACCAAAAAAGAAAAAAAAATGACCAGCCCTCACTTAGTGGAGGGAAATGAGTCCCCACCTCACTGCACTGGATAGACTAGGGTTTGGCACTGTCTTCGAACTGGCACATCTGTTTGGAGAGATAGTCCTTAGTATTCTCACTGTGTCATGGCTAGCCCATGGCCCTTATGAATTACCTTTTTTTTGGATCCATGTCACATTGCTCTTTCCAAATTGTAACTGGAACCTATGCTACTAATAAAGGTTCCTAAACTTCGTGCTCAATAATGTGGTTACAAGGGCTCCAGGCTGCCATCCAGGACTGTTCTGCAGCAGTTGGTGGGAACACCTCTGTGGTTTTGGTATTTGAAACAGTCTTTATTATGATTATTTTTTCATGTTTAGTTTTAATCCTTTAGCTTTGTGTTAGCTCTAACCATTATTTATAACTTTATTGTTCTTAACTCTGATCATGTTTATAGTTCATATTCTCAACTTAAATGTATATAAACCTATATGTCTGTGTGTGTGTATATATATATATATATGTATATATATACATATCATATACATCTTATCATATATATATATATATGATAAGAAGGTATGCTGTTTTTATTTGGACCACTAGAACTTAATGTAGAGTCTTACACATCTACCACAAACAGGTTTGTACCTGTTTCCAGTTGGTGGTGGGAAAACTTTTTATAGAAAGAATTTTGAATCATACAAAACAAACCCTTTAAGATAACAGGAAGAATATTTATTTCTGGAACATTTATTTTTAGAATATTTTGAAAAAGTCATATAAAATGTATGGAAACTTAAATCTATGGAGAAAATGATATATTTACAGTAATTAAGATTATATTTCAGTTTCATATTATGTATGCTTAGGAGTAATGGAAAATAAGCTTGGAAAGAGTCAAATGGGAGGAAAACAGAAGAAATACAGGAAGGCAGAAATGGAAAAGGACCAGGAAATTAGAAATTAAATAATTCAACAAATACTGAATGCCAAGTCTGTTTAAAGAATCCTTGAAAAAAAACTAGCCTTTTAGAATTACACTTTTAGAGCTGACATAATTTGTAGATGTGAGATTGAACACACTATGGCCATACAGGAAGTGAGATATGATGGGTAGGGATTTTTTGTTTTAATTGAGAGTGTGACCATTCACCAAAGAGAGAGAGAAACACCCTTCCTTAAACTGGCAAAGGCACGCCGCAATCCTTTATGAAGTTTGGGCATGCACTCACATGTGCCTACAGGGGTCAGAACTTAAACTTGGGTAGCCATGTGGGACTCAATCCCCTATGCACAGGGCTCAACCTGCTTTGGAACTGGCCCAGGATGGGATTTTTGAGTCTCCCAAATCTCTCAAAGTCCGTACTGTTTGGTTATTAACTCCTTACATGGACAGTGCTCTGAGCACACAACACACGTTCCCAGAGCACTTTAGTCAACAGCGATAGCTACGTCTCAGATCTTCATCATCTTCAGAGTCTGCAGACCCTTGCCAGAAATCTTCTCAGGGCTCCCTTCACGTCCTTATTCCTCAGGGTGTAGATAAAAGGATTGAGGGTGGGGGTGATTATGGAATAGAAAAGGGAGATAAATTTGCCCTGCTCTTGGGAGTAGCTGGAAGGGGGCTGCAGGTACATGTAGATGGCTGGCAGGTAGAAGAGGGAGACTACCACCAGGTGGGAGGAGCAGGTTCCAAAGGCCTTGCGCCGCCCCTTGGAGGACTGAATTCTGACCACTGCACGGGCGATAAAGCCATAGGACAGTAGGATGAGAGCCAGAGGGATCAGCACGAAGAAGGCCACCAGCACAGCCAGCGTGGCATCGTTAACAGCTGTGTCAGCACATGACAGCTTGATCATGGCCGGCACCTCGCAAAAAAAGTTGTTCAGTACCTGCCGCCCACAGAAAGGCAGCTGCACTGTCAGGGCAACCTGGACGAGGGAGTTGCCGAAACCACTGAGCCAGGCTGTAGCCACGAGATGCTGGCACAGGGGGCGGTTCATAATAACAGCATACCGAAGGGGCTCACAGATGGCCACGTAGCGGTCCAGGGCCATGGCCGCCAAGACAACGCACTCAGTACATCCCAGCCAGTGGAAAACCGCGTACTGCACTGTGCAGCCGCCATAGCTGATGGTCTTCCTGGAGCTGCCCATGTTGGCCAGCATCTGCGGCACTGTGGTGGTGGTGTAGCAGAGGTCCAGGAAGGACAGGTGGCCGAGGAACACGTACATGGGGCTGTGGAGCTGGGGGTCCAGCCGGCACACCAGGATGATGGAGAGGTTCCCCACCATGGCCAGAATGTAGGACACCAGGAGGACCACAAAGAGAGGGAGTTCCAGCCACGGCCTGTCAGAAACACCCAGCAGGATGAAGTCTTCAGGGAGGTCACCCAAGAAGCTCCGGTTATTACAGCTCATGTTGAGGCATCTTCTGGTGCCTGTAAAGAGTTGAGAAAGTTGGAATAAACACTTCTGAGAAGAAACTGATCATTTTTCTTCTTTCTGCATCTACTTTTATTTTTCACACAGGACACACCCTATCTGCCTTTCTGAAGAAACACTGGGTTGTGGAGGGACCAGAACAGCAGTGTATGAGAGATGAAAAGTTCTTAGAACTTGTTAACTGCAAAATTAAAGTACAAGTTTATTTTGTTGCAAAAAATAAGAATGCATGCATAATGCATAGTATTTTCATGACACTCACTTTTCACGAACTTCTAGAAGACCTCCTATGGGCATCTTTCCTCTCCCTCCAGCGTCAGAGACTTAACAAAGCCATTTAATCTTTCTGAGCTTTAATTTCTGCACCTGTCAAATGGGGATAGAATCATTGCTTCAACTGCATGGTCTTGGGGCTGAAAAAGGATGCAGAGTATGTGAAAACATACTGTATGACAGAGATATGAGGTACAGAAGGTCCCAGGTGGGTCCGACATTTTTTGCGAGGTGCCGGCCATGATCAAGCTGTCATGTGCTGACACAGCTGTTAACGATGCCACGCTGGCTGTGCTGGTGGCCTTCTTCGTGCTGACCCCTCTGCCTCTCACCCTACTCTCCCCCAGCTTTGCTATTCATGCTAGACGTGGGTCTGTGCCCGTAATCCAGGCTGACTGAGGCTGGGGGTGGACAGTGGCATGGAGGCTCTGCTGAGAACAACTCTCTATTCTCTCTTTGCCTTGCACTCTCTGTTTCCTCTCTTTCATGAGAAAAACAAATCACTAAACTAAAAAACAAACAAAACAAAACAAAAAATAAAATAGCCCCTAAGGTTGTCCACTGAAAGATCAAGCTTCCTCTAGAGCTAACGTTATCAGACAGTTTGAGTGATGAATTTCAAAGATAACTTCTTGACCAAGCAGCTGTCACAGCCCAGTGATGGAACAGCTTGATTTCTGGACACCATTGCTGTTGCTGTTAGAAAGCACTGGGTTATTGGGGCCTGCAGGTGGCCTGCTGGTTAAGGTGCTTGACTCCCACATGGCCAACTGTGGTTAGAATCCTGGACTCAAAAATCATGCTCAAGACCCAGAGAGGAGAATGGAAAAGAAGAGATTGTGGTATGGCCATCCCCCTGGGGGATGATTTCTCATCTCCTCTCTCTCTGTTTCTCAGTCTTTCTCTGGTGAGCACATGTGCCCTCTGTCAAAAACCTGAAAAAAAAGAAGAAAAAAAGAAAGAAAATACTAGGTTGGACCAGTGGATTCACAAGGGCTTCTCCCTGAGCCCCTTTGGCCTGTTACTAACCTCCCACACTCTCTCAGGTCCTGTACAACTTCAACAGCCAGAGTGGGGTGCCATGCTCCATGACAGGATTAGGGACAAATGAAGCCCCACAGATATTATATGAAGGGTTCGTTTTTAGTTCTTGATTTGGTGCCTTATGCATAGACTATAAAACTAATGGAAATCTGTTCAATCCCGATGTCGCAGCAAACATCGCCCCTCAGCTGATAGTCTAAGAGCTATATTGTTGGCTCTAAAGCAATACAAATCCTAAATTTTAAAAGTATAAAAAGGTAAAAACATTATTTGCTCTTTCTGTAGTTTTGAAACAGCATACTCTTTGCTATCAGGTTACCAACAGTCTTGTGAGACATTCAATTATTGCATTTTCTCTCACAATTTTATCAAAATATATATGAAATAAGCTTCAAGTTTATCTCTAATGAGCTCAATATCCTAGTTTTGACACAGAGCACTTCAGCAGAACAAAGTCAGATTAGCACATTTTTAAAGCCTACTTTATCAGAGTAAAGGAATTGTGACATTTCTTTTTTCTCAGACTTTTTATTTTAACATTTATTTATTTATTTCTCTATTTATATGTTGTGATTTTCAAGCCACCAGGTCTGGAACTTGAACCATGCTCAGCTGTGTGAGACTCCACCACCTTAACTACCACACCACATCCTTTTCTTAGATTTTTTTATTCCAAAGTTTCTTTTTAGAATCTAAACTGAAAAAGAAAGATTTTGCAGAAATATTAAAAAAGGATGTAGAATACATATTTAATAACAAATACAAGTTATTAAACACTATTAGCCAAATGCTCTAATAAATGTACATTATATTGTACAAACAACCCATATTTTCACCTTCATTTTGTTATTGAGTGGAGTGGCTCAGAGGACAACTGGTCTACCCCAGATTATTTAGCAGCAAGTGGCAAAGTCAGGGTTGAAAGCCATGCCCTGCTGAAAGCAGTTAAAACTGCTATTCTTTCCAGTACTTAGCTTTTCAGAAAAGTAGTTGGTGACATGGAAAACAAGAACATTAGTGTGAATTTCTGAGACAAAGGCAAATCCTGAGATAGAGAGATGAGGGATTAATGCAAGTTTTTCGTAATTATAATGCAGTGCACCACGCGCACGCGCACACACACACACCACTCTACTGTGAATCTGGGTGCTGTCCAGCACTTCCCACCCTCATCTGCTGGCCTTCTCTCCAGCCCTTTTCGCTTCAAGCTCTAATCGAGGTCCAATCTCTGCCCTCCCTTGGCCTTTCACCTTGCCACTATCCAAACAGGTATTCTCAAGGTACAGCTTCCCTCTGCAGGCAGGCACGGTGATTTTCACATCTGCCACAACTGATTCAGGCTGAGCCCTTCCTTACCTGTTTTCAGTGTTAGTTCCTTACTGACACTCAAACCCTTGGACATCCCTGACTGAGGCACCCCAAATTCAATCTGGTAGTCATTCCCCAACCTCAAACTAGCCCCTTCCTCTTAATTTATGGTGACTCCCACCAGTTGCTCTGACTGAGAGTTCGTGACGTGGTTCCTCACCCACGTCGGCAGCGGCTTTGTGCTACAGACAGTATCTGGGATGTGGGCACACATGGTCTGGGCGGACGCCAGTGAGGGCCCCTCAGAGCTCTCTGTCTCCCACCCCTGTCTGGTTCATCACTCACATGCATGAGGGCAATCTTTCTAAGACTCAGGTCTTAACAAAGATGCCTTTACATGTTCCGGTTATGTAAAATAAGAACCCATTTCCTTAAACAAAGTTACTGCTGAGGATAAAATTCTGACTGCTTTTTCTATTCTAAGATACTTTTTAAGGGGCCTGGGGAAGTCATGCCTAAAACATGTATCTTTCTGTAGAAGCTGCCTTCGCCCAGGGTTGTGTGGTATGCCCACCTCCTGGTCCTGACATAGCATTTTATGGTAGTCAGTAAAGTGCTCTTATCTCTGTTTAAGGAAAGCACAGACATTCTTTTGCTGACTCTAAGTCTTTTTTTTTTTTTTCCAGACAATTATTAACCCTTAAAATTTTAAATCCACCTAGGGACCAGCACTTAGCATAATGGCTATGTCACTGGACTCTCATGTAGTTGACTGCGGTTTGAGTCCCGGACCTGGTGGCTTAAACTCATGCCAGGCGCATGTGCATGCGTGCCCAAGATCCCAAGAGGAGACTGGAGGAGAAGGGATTGCGGCATGGCCATCCCCCCGGGGGGTGATTTCTCGCTTTCTGTCTCTCTGTCTCCCTCTGTCGGTCTGATGAGCACACGTGCCCTATAGCAAAAACCTTTCCAAAAAAAAAAAAAAAATTTAAACCCACCTGTAACTTCCAAGCTCTGGTTTCCAAGGTCCTGCCTTTGGGGCCAGGCCAATGCATCAACTCCTTACACTGATTAGCAACTTCATCTTGGTTGCCTGGTCCTTTCACTAAAGTAAAAAGAACCGCTGCATCTAAACACCTCGGAAAATGCCTTTGTACTTTCCCAGGATAAATAGCTTCAATTATATTCTACAGAGTCTTGGTCATTTCCATGGACACAGCTGAGGGTAGAGACTGTACCATTCTCTGGCTGAATCCCTTGCAGTTTTTTCTGAGAACCATCACATTCCTCTTCATTAGCAGTCGCTACAGGGTGTTGTAGCAACAGGGTTAGATCGTGGTTAGATCATGGTTAGATCGTGGTTAGATCATGCCTGCTGGCAGTCTGGTCTGTGGAAACTGCCCTGGTGGTACACGCCGTTCCCTGCATGACGTTTGACGCTTATGAGGAACACGTACAGCAGTGTCACCGTATCCGTGGCTCTTATTCCTGGTGTGTGCTACTGCGATTCCTTTGAGGTGTGAGAAAACATGTTTCACCTATTTCACAACGAAAGGAAAATCAGAATCGCAGCACTAAATGGAAAGTCCAGAAAACAGCTCGTGAGATGGACAGACAGAGACTAGGCTGTGAAATTTTATTTCTCGTTAGCCCAACGGGTCGCTTTAATTTAAAATTCAGCCTGAAATGACCACGAGCTAGGTAACCAGGTCAAGGTCCTCTTTAGCTGCCAAAGCTGCAACTAGGATTACACTGCAAGAGCTTGAGTCTTGCGAACAAGGTTTAAGGATGACAGTAGTTTCTTAATTGGCGTTAACAGGGACTTTTTGTCCTGCGGGGTGGCACACAAGTAGTGCCACTGCTTGGCAGGCTGGAGTTGCAGGGGAGGCCTGAGCATGCAGCCCCAGGTGTGCGTGTCTGTGTCCCAGCTTCCTGGCAAGTGGAGCAGGAGGGTCCTGACACACCAGACCCTCTGCTCCTCTCTCCCTCCCCTCTCCCTCTCTCACTTTCCTTCCGTTTCTTTCTCTCTCTCTTCTTTAGTAAAATAAAAACAAACAAGCGGGATCTCTCATCATGAAAAGAGAAAAAAATGCTTTTCCCTCCCTGGTTTGCATTTCCTGCCTGGTCTAAGGGCGTCTTCCTCCTGGAGGTTCTGATTAGAGTAAACAGGAAGTGGTCGGCACGTGAGGAGAGCCTTCACATTGTCCACTTGTGCTTTCTCAGTCCCCTCTCCCAGGGCAGCCTCCTCCGCACAGCCCACACTCAGGTCCGCCCCTGGGCTCTGTGCACTGTGCCCGGACACGTGGAATTGCACACCGTCCTGCTGGAGAGGCGTCGTCAGCAACCCCCTC